CAGTGCATTGCTTTCTGAAATTGCTGTGATCAGTATGACGGAAATAAATTCAATAGCTTTGATGTTGTTAGAAATTAAATAATATATAACCACAGTTGTTGGAAGGACTTTTTATCCCCAAAACACACACAAACTACATGTAACTAAGATAGGCCGTTTTCAAATAGCCAGTGATTGTCCAATCTTGTACCATCGCTTGTGAAAACTGTCACTAAACATGTATGATCCATTTATTTATCAAACCAGTCCAAAACCCGGTAGTGTGCGTGAAAGTGTTACATGGAATGTTCGCTTGGATCTTTAAATAACATTTTATGTCCATAATTATCCGCCCTGTAAAAAATCCATAGTGTACATTTCGGAGCACCCTTCATCTGTTTAGATATGTTTAGGTAAATATTGATGAACACAAATAAATAAAAACAAAAACACATAAGATGCCACCATGAAACATCCATGTGTTTCTATAAAAATGACTTGACCTTATGTCGTTAATACACGCCTTTATATCATTGGACGAAATGTATTTTTGTTGGAGTGGAATTTTAACTGATTTGGTAACTTTAAAACTTAATGATACTGGGCGAAATATAGTAACGACATCACGTGAATTCTTCTGTGAGTAATTAAAGACTCTATGTTGGGGTCGAGTTGATCTGATGTCGTAGCTACATACCCACATGTCGGTGGACGAGTTGTCTGTATATTCAGTTTTTACGTACATATTATTGGACGAGATGTCTCTATGTTCTAGTCTCGTTCAACCGGACGCTTGATCACTTTTTTTGTGCAGACAACAAGAGTCTGGTTGAACGAGACTACGGAACTACTTGACCTCGTGTCGTTACTACACACCATTAATGTGACATTCGGAACACCTCGCCTATGCTACCTAGTTGCCAAGAAAATGACGGAAAGGGTATTCCGAATGCATTATGTGATTGTCATACAGTTATTCAGTCTATGACGTCAGATAAAGATAATTTCAGAAACAACGAGAATGTATCAAATTGTCTGATACTTTGGCGAGTTAGAATTTCGAGATTATCAAATGACCATTTCCACGACGTACTCCGTATTAGCCCGAGAATACCGTATCGGCCCGAGGGACTGGCGAAAATACAACGCAAACTAATTTGTATCCTTCAGTTTTAAGTCGTCGGCAAATCTGTGACGTCATATCAAGATATCTTTGACGTTATATGTCTATTGTTTTGGTCATGTATGACGTCACTATGTACACTTGAACATTTCAACCAAATCAGATTTATAGGGTAATATATTAATCTACTGCATGTGTTGTAGCAGCAATAATTACATTAGTGTACAAATATTAAACTTTTCTAAGGGCTGACAAAATATTTATAAACCTGTAGAAAATAAAATTATTCGTATCCGGAGGTAAACGTTATTTATCAACATGAAGAAAATAGAATTTACTCGTACGGGAGATAATATTCACTACATGAATATAATACGTTCTTACAGACAAATGAATGCTATCAAGGGTCGCTAATTGTTTATAATCATTCTTTACTCCATTTCCGGTAAGAAAATAGGCCTTTCCCGTTTTTGCGGCATTAAAAATTCTAAACTCCTTTTTCCAAAACGATCATGCTGACACCTGTTGGGAACAAATGCATAATTGATAACAGTATGCTATGACAGCTATAAAATAGATCGAACCTATTCAGCAATTATTCAAAAAGTCGCTACGAGGCGTATCTTCTACCAATTTACATACATGTAAATCAACATTAACGGTATTAACAGGTGGGATGAAACCTGCTGTGTGGCAAATCGTTTCCAAACACATTTATTGTCATCGTTTCTCTCCAAAATATATATCTTCCCAATAAAAATTCTCAGAATTAATGGATGATTATTATTTGTCAGTGAATCTAGAAAAAAATGTTTTATGAATCAATAAATATTTAAACCGAACAACATGTAGAGGCCATGTGCCATTTTCGTTGAATGTAATGACCCATGACGTTTGCTGGGACGCAACTATAGTAATATGCCGCATTGCGGTAAAACTTTCTCTGTTGCTAATATACTTGAAGTGTATAATGCTGTGTCATAATATATATATACATGTGTATAGATACAATGCGGGAGAGGTGACCCATAAAATCGTGACCTCTATATCTGGACATTGTCCAGTACAACTGGACACTCTTACAATACACATATATTTGTCGTCATAAGTTTTCTCTTTAAACAACTCGGTCTTTCATCGATCTATATCCTCGGCTGGCGAGCCATGTTTCGCTGGCAGTCCCATATATGCCAGACTGCATTCTCTGGCACGACACGTTACTCTACCCCAGTATACACGATACATATTAGAGTTATGTCTGTCTGCTCAATCGCAATTTCATGTCCTGTTAAATTTCACTTCACTTAAGCTCCGGAACCGACATAGAAAAACAATGGAGTACCATTAGGTTCTTTGGGGCGTTTACATGTATGGTAATATAATGAGTGCTGCTAACGATTATCTCGCTGTATGCGCGCACGCGCGTGTGTGTACGTTTGAATCGGATGTGTACCGTTACCGTTTGAGGAGAATCTAAACAAAGCACTCATCCATTTCCATATAAATCCGATTTCAAGTGGAGGATGTTGATTTTGTCCGAGAGAAACACCGACGCGGCCAAGGGTTCTGTAGATATCGATATGGAAGTGATATAGATCTCTCATCGTTGTATATTACAAAACATTCCGTAATAATGTGTGTAACTAACAGCTTTTCTAGGGACTTAGCTGAAAGTGAAACAAGACTCAGACCGGAAAAAAGATTTGTCTCTCGAGAAATTAACCATTAATCTTATAGCACGAGACGGGGATTTCTCTTTCTTAAATTTTACAAATGCATGTTCAAAGGCATATATGGTCTTGATATGTGTCCCGTTGATGCTATATCAATAAAACATTTCTATCAGGTGAGATAACTTCTTATTTTTAACCCGTCAATAACGACATATTTTAATCGGATTCTCTCAATATCTCTAAATATTTGTTGTCAATAGTGAACTAAATAGTACATGTTCATTGAATGAGGTAATGTACAGTTCGATCTGTGTCACCGAAATGTTTGTTTCTTACAATGGTCTCGCGTCATTCCAGAGAAGAGTCAAAATGATTTAATTGCGGCCTCTATTCTTCTAGCACAGTGTCAACGAAAATATAAATATATATATATAAATCTCCATGAGAAAGGCGGACACAAAGCATGCCATCTTGACGTCAGGAAAGAGTTAATTTTTTACAGTCAATCTCATGTATTACGAATCTTGAAATATCAACTAACACATTTTATTTAAAGTACTTACATATACTTGTCTTAAATGTAATCATCATTAAGTTAATTCACAAATATAAATATATATATGTTTATTGTTTTTGGTGACTTTCGAGAGGATTCTTAGTGACTTGACTTATTAGAGGATTATCTGTATTCGAAAAAACAATGTATTTATGAAATACTTTTAAAAAATAGCATTGTTTCCCCCTAGACAACCGGAATAACAAAACGTTCGAGATTACCGAATAAGGAATTGTCATTTAAGGCTATATGTTACCTTAATGTGACGTAATAAACATATGTCTCTTCCAAATAACTCCAACAACATCAGCAAGTATGAAAATGCAAATGTTTGGATGACAAAATTTAAGGAACTTGGAGACGAAGTCTGCAAATATGAAAATCGGCCATTGTCCTAAATACAATTCTACATGATGTATTTAAGAATATTACTGTCACTTTGGCAAAAATAATATTGAAAAAGAAAAAACACCAAGGGTAAGAGTTTACGTGGAAAAGTAAGGATATCGATTCGAATTTTCATACTGCTGATGATGGAACTCTTAAAAAAGAGTATTTAAAAATAGTTTTCCATCCGTTTTCCACCCCTATCCCCCGAATCGTCCTGTAGTATTTCTTTTCTTTTTGTTTGTTATTAGGCTGATAACTCAGGGAAATCTAATGTGTTCACTTGAAAAGGTATCTTTTATCCCCAAATGTAAGTATATTCCAGAAAGTGACTTCCTTATTATCGTCGTCCACATTAAAGAGTCTGATTTTCAATTCACAAGTTTATTACATCGTACATTTTAATACTGATAGTTTGTTTGTTAAAAGGTCAGAGGAGTGTATTGCTAAACGGAAATAGGAAGTACATCCATAGTTGAAAATCCAATGTAGGGAGACAGTATCACAATTTCCGCATATTCTAATGTTTAATATTAAACTGATGAATATTGTATGTTTATTATTGACAGAACAGTGTGTATTTCAGAGCAATCCAGGCATGAATTCAGTTGTTTTTTAATCAATGAGTCACATCTGTCCATTTTTCTGTACTTCAGGAAACCGGCTACCTATTTCACTACTGTGAAGTTTTTCAAGAACGATAATTCTTACATGCAATTGCTATGCGTAAATGGTTTTATTATAAAATGTCAATTTTTAAACGTTTATAGATAATTAATTTTACACAATTTCAGCAATTATGAAATTGATATACATTAATGCAATACTAATCTATGTCAGTATCATTTTTATTGACATTATTTTGCAAAAAATTGTGTGTTTCAGTTTTTTTCTTCAAAAATCACTCCTTTTTACATACATTTCCATTGAAAATCCTTAAAATTATGACAACTTATATTTTTTTGGTGGCAGAAAAGTTTCTTTACTTCAAAGCAGAGACGTATAATACACGTCTCTGTTCAAAGCAATATAACTACAAAATTTGAAGACATTCTACTGAGAAATGGCGACACAATCCTATTACCTTAATATAATAACGTTGAACATCTCGTACTTACAACTGACACAATGGATGCGAGTATATCTTTAATAGTATTGATATGTAATAGATGTATGTATACTTACTTGGAGGTAGTAAAGTTACCTACACAAGGATATACATGTATCTACTATCTTTAAACAAATCTGATACATATACTATAAGGAAGCAACATGATATATGTCATTTTTTCATCACTTTAATCATGGAAGCTAAATTTCTACACCGTTTTTTATGTTTCATGAGACATACATTTCGCATGAGAGGTTTGTCGCGAATTCAAATGTCTTACGAAAATGTATTAAACACACAAGTAAATAATGGATAAATCTGCTGTAATTCTTTCCCACTGAAATCCTCGCGAAAATATCCTTGGAGGAACAATAGCGAAAATAATTATAGGCGAAACGTTATTTTTTACAGTTTGTAATCAGGATGTCATTTAGGGCGAGCACCAAAAAAGACATACATTACTTTGAGTATCACTAATTCATACAGTAAATGACAAAATAACAATAGCTGTAACCAGATGCAAAAGGCTCCCTTGCATTTCATCAAAACCCTTCACGATTATTTCCTGGTCACGGTAATGGTGTATCAAGAATAATTGACCTTTAAACCGGCAATGACATTTGACCTTTTAGTCAACTTCCGCTTTGTCAGTCATTTGTTAAAAGTTCCCATAGCGTAGTTCCCGATTGGGTGAAAGTCTTTCCAGTGTGATTTCGTTTACGTCGTCCCCTGGCCGAGCGTGGTCAACATCATTGAGAATTCTGAAAGAAAGAGAAACAATTTTCTAAGTGAATATTATAACAGTAACTAACCATTGCTGGACGCAAGTGTTTCGAAAGAACGCCATTTGTCTGCTGTGAACGATATCTTGTGTCGGAAAACGGTATGGTTATTGGTTGACTAACGCAAAGGGACAACACAATAACTTTATTATACGATAAAACCATGAGATGCGACTTGAATCTATTTGCATTTTATCAATTTAGATAAGACACCCCCCCCCACCCCCCCCC